GGTGAACCTGTCAGGGGCTGCAGGGTCTCTGCTAAAGCCCAAATGAAGGAGATGTGCAAAGACCTCAAATGAAGCCTTTCTATGGGATAACAGAAATATTTCCATAAACCACTGTTCATTACCTTTTATGGCTAAAAATGTGTGACAAAATAGGTTTTATTTTCCTGAATACATTATTCAGAGTGATGGTGTGAAATGTGCCAATTTATATGAAAATGCAAATTAAAAATTACATGAAAAAAATGGTCATGTGTAAATGCTGTAATCACGTACCTTCCTGTAAGACTTGCAAATTGTGTTATTCTTTAAGCTCAGCTTCATATTTCTTGAGCAAATAGTCCACAGTGCAATTAGGAGGTGCTTTTATGTACGTGTTGGGACTAAAACTGAGAGACTTGAAATGTACAGATGCTGTTGTCTCAGCATGGTATGACTGGTCCACAGCATAGCTGCGCTGCAAAATGATGTAAAGAATGTGTGATACGCAAAGCAGTTGCTTGCAGAAAGCTGTATTGTGACACAGATGGCATTTCTGCTTCCTGTGGGAGAAGAAAAGTACTTCCATGCAACCCAGTTCATTAGGTTTTATAGCTAAAACTATCTGACAAAATATGCTTTTCCCAAATATATTATTTCTAGTGCTGGTGTGCAAAAAAAATTTGCTAAATGAAATTCTTACTAGAAATCTGAAGTTCAGTGTATCTTAATCCTTTACTTGCTCTGGAGATGCCATGGTGCTGACTCCTGGATGTGATGTAGGATCCTGTAGAGATCAGTTATAAATCCCTAGGAAAATAAAGTTCTACCAAATGATTATTTTAAAAAACTTCTCTGGGAAGATTAAGTATGTATTGCAGCAAATACAGTATTGTACAATACAATATAATAATGCAGTGTATATAAGAAATACATATCAAGAATAATTTTTTAAAACTTATTTGAAAGAGAGGAATCCATCTACTGAAATCCATCATCTTGTTCTTAAGAAAAAATAATGAGTGGCCCAAGCTTATTCAAGCTTCGTGTTTGAAGTTGCAAAGGACCAATGGCTTCAGTGTTACAGGCAGGTGGAAAGTTTAGCATCAATAGCGTAATACTGCCTCAAACGCTTCTTTTATAAACTAATCACCAGTGTAAAACTACATGAATATTAATCAGGAAAGCAGGTAGTAATTTCTCATCTCTCTCTGGACAGAATAGATGTAACCTATAGCGTAATTTTGTTCCCTGTGGTTACCTGCACTGGTATAAACCTGTAGGCTGTGGTCTGTTCTAGCTACTAGATGTGAAACTCTTTCTATACTTCTTGCCTACTATCATGTCCTTAAAGTCTTCCCTTCACATATCTTTTTGGCCTTACTTAGGCTAAAAGCAGTGCAACATTGCTTGTAAGGATTCTAAAGCTTAATTCAAAGTCTACAGAAATCTCAGTATTACTGTATCTGGCTTGCTTGCTTCTTAGGTAGTTAGCTACACTTTTTACTTGTTTTGGTTAGCTGTAGTTTTTGTGTTCTATGCCCCTTCAAGATTCAGTTTAATGGGATTCGCTCCATTGAACGTGAGATTGCAGCAAGAAACTCTGTGCTTTGGCTTCCAATATGCTATTAAGAGGTCCGTGATGGCAAATGTAAAGTGATTATTCTTACTGGGAAATACTGTGAATCAGAAATGCAATTGAGATTCATATTTATGTGGGAATATTTTTAAGCTTCCAAAGGAGGTCCAAGGGCAGGAAGTGGATGCGTAATAACCAGTTTGGCTTGATGCATATGCTCAGAGGTTTAATGAAACAGGCAACTCAACTATGTGAAAGAAATAATCACACACTGACTTGCTGTTTTGTTGTAGATGAAGTTCTGCTTCATCTACCATAGTATAAATGCATGAATCTAGTCAGGTCCCCTCAGAAATCTTTTTGTCTATGTTAATCATTTAATCAACAGTCTTATGCTAACATGTGTTTCTTACCCTTATTTTCTCAGTAACTTTTTGTTGCTGATGCTATACAGTAATAGTGTTCCACAGCTTTGGAACATGAATTGAATAATGAATAATTGAATAACATGAATTGTAGGAATAACTTCCTGTGTTATTGAGAGGAAATGAGTTGACATGGACCACTGTGAATCTGTGAATAACCCTTAAATCCCAACCATAACAAGAGCCAAATGTACATCAGAAGTTACGTATATGTGCTATGTTTTCAGCAACTTTTTAATGACAGTCATTTGACTATTTAGGCCACATGCTGCTGTAGGGAGAGTACGCTGGAATTTGAACTAATGCTAGTCCTTGATTTATATCAGAGCTTAGTTCACATATGAAGGCTTGTTGTTTTATTTTTTTTTATTTTTGTTGTTGTTTATTTGTTTTATTAACTTAGAATGGTTAGAATGGGTGGCTTTTGGGGAATTACTGTCAGATCTGTATCCTTTCATCTTTCCTTTTTCCTTTTCAGGCTGTTGATCTACTCTTGATCCTTGAGGAGAAGGAAAGGTTGATAAGAACCTTTAACTATGGGAGATCTCTACAGACCTTCAGAAATAACAGACAGAGGGGCCAGAGATCCTATTTAAATACTGTATTTTGAAGCAGTTTGGTGAGTATTTAAACTTGAAATTGGGTTCTTTCTTATATAGCCATGCAAATGTCAAATTTCAGAATATTCCATGATATAGTAACAGTGTAGTTGTAGCCCCGATTTAGATAATAGCTATAACAACGCTTATTAAAACATTGAAGGTGGCAGAGAAAAGTTATAATCTCCTTAGGGTCTGTACTCAATTTTCTTGTAGGCTTTCTTCAGAATTGAGATGGTTATATTCATATTGAAAATGCAAATGTACAGTCTGACAACGTACCTCAGAACTTAGAGGTTTTTCCCAAATCTTTGTAGATGAAGGGTTTTGTACTTTGGAGCTTTGAAATGAATGTGGAGGTGTGTGTAATATAATGCATCACATACAGACCTTCTTTGGTGCATATAGAATGGTAATTTCAAGGTCTATGTGGATATTTGGGGCAACGAAATTTGCATTATTCTCTGCTCTCTCCTGAGTCTGCAGGTATTCTCTGGTTTATAGTATTTTTCTTTGGAAACCATGTTCTGCAGAGGGAAAACCTGTATCTCTGAGGCCTAGAAAGGAAAATTGAGGAAGATATCCTCCACAAATACTGCTGTGTTTGATTAGTTGGTGATATAGTAAAGAGAAGTAAATTGAATGGTAGCAGTTTATGAGTTTCAATGTGTTTTTTATTCACATACTATTTTACTGTATTTTTAGTTTTCCATATATAAAGTATGCAAAGGACTGATTAATCGGAAAAGTCATTCTTAAATGTAAATCCACTGAACAAAACCAAATCTCATTGCAGCAAATATGGCTAAGAAAAATATTGTTTATTCACAGAGCTTGGATGCAGATATGAGAAAATATGCTTTAATTTGAAGTAGGTGTAAGACGCAAAAACGTTCTGAGTATGTGCGTACCAGTTAACATGCAATGCTCCACTTCATACCAGCATTCACTAACTGTGAAGCTCTTAGGGGGCACAAATGTATGCTATTCCTGGCTATCTCTGCTTAGCAGGTGCAGACAACCTTGAAAGGAATCTCAGTAATCCTTGTAATGAATCTATCTAAACAGGGAATCTGCTGTTCTTTTCTCTCCAGCAATAGGGTCCTGGAGACCAGGGCCTGAGGAAGCTTAGCTCAGGTTGTGGTGTCATAAGATTGATTGAGCCAATCTAAAAACTTGCTGCCACTGGAAGGAGAGAGACTTCCTTATTTACCTCTGCTCCCAGCTGCCCAGCCCAGACACCATGCATGGCCTCTGGTACCCAGTCTAGAGACAAGTGGAGAGGCAGTGACGGAGTCCCAGCTGCCAGAGACTTCCTGTGCCAGGCTGTCCAGAGCTTGCAGTTCTTTATCCAGAGTAAGCCAAGGCCACTTCAATCTGTCAAAACCCTTGTCCTACTGAGAGAGTAGCAGGGAAGCTACTGGTCAGTACTTACACATGCATCTTATTCTCGTCATTCCTCCAGCTGCCCGTAGCTTCAAGATCTTTGGATTCCCATTGTCACTTGTGTGTTTTCCAGATGACCTCCTATTAATTTGTAGTCTGTAGGGTGTTATCCTTTGTTTTCAAAATTCATACTTTCCTGCTTTGCAGCTGGCCATGTTTTGAGTTGGTTCCAACAATAATTTGCCCAGCAGTCATAAAACTTTCTGTCAACAGTAGTTTATTCTTTAAAGAAAAGAAGCCTAAATGGCTTTGATGCTTTATAGGTTATCATTGAAGAGCCTAAGTTTTGCAAGTGACTTGTGTCTGATGTTCAAGCCTACTGTGAGCTAAAACCTATTATTAACTTTCATCTACCTTCTATGGTTTTAACGTAGCCCAAATTTGCAGCCCTTCGCCTTCTGTTTACATCTTCCTATTTCACCCTCAGTTCCTCTGCAGCAGCATATCTTCTGGATTACATTCCACAGGAACATGTTCCTAGTTTGAGGATTACTGCTGTAAACGGAAGGTCTGCAGCAGTCACACAAGTGATGATTTTATGTGATAGCGGATTTGCCTAAAAGTGTGACTATGATTCTGCTTTCTATGCTTCGTATTTTAGTGCAAATGAGATCACAATGAGATTGTGGATTTAGTGCTGTGTTTGTATGTACGTGCATTTAAAAATTTAGAGAAAAAAATAGAAATTTTGAATTTTGTCTCTCTTCTCCCTTCCTATGTAAGGCAAGTATTGCTCTAAAATTACCTAGTTTAGGTAAATGATCAGTTATAAAAAGTGTCTGTCTTAAAAGATATACATCCTATCTTCATGTTGTGCTAGAACATATCCATGAAATCTAGAAGTGGAATAAAATTTTAGTTTTTCATTGTTTGTAAGCTTACATAATTGGTATGCTCTCTGTCCCCCATTTTAATTGAGGAATATATAAATGAGTTGAATGGAAAATAAAATAAAAGAATAATCTTTGAACACAGTTATTTGCAATGTAAGTCTGTTATCTAGCTTTATTCTTTAATGTGCATTAGCGGATCTTTTCCTGCAAAATAAAGAGTGACCTAAGGTATGGAATGAAATAATGTAGAGGATCTATCTTGAAAGTAACATATTTAATTAATTTTCATTTCTTTTATAAGCCCACATTTTCATGTAATGGACTGGCCACACATACACTATAAGAAATGGTAAAGCTCACTCTTGTGGTATAGTAAGAGAAGTGCAGAAGCAACAGCCCTTTATTCTTCAGTGATTTTTGTTTGCACATAAACATTAGAAGTGACCCTTAAACATACTGTTTTCTGTAGATGGATCCTTGATGTTTTCATTCTTCTTCTGTTGATGAACATGGTTTCTTCTATTTTTCCTTCTGTGGTCTAAGGAACTTTACGGGATTGATGCAGTGCACTATCAGGCCGCTGGACAGGTATTGATGCTTACAGCACCACTAACCAAAGCCGCTTTACTAAAACTCACTGGTTTTTCATCAATCATGAAGTTACGAATGCAGCCAATGAAAGAGTTGCGTGTAGTCAGGCTGGATGTTAGCAGAGACTCTGGAAGAAGTAGATAAAAAAAAAAAATTAGAGCTCATGATGACCAAAATAATCAGTTTGGTGGCAGAATCTTTTCAATTTACTGCTAACTGCAGCTCTGCTGAATCTTCTGTGGGTCTTTTAAAATGTCTGGCCCACTGCCAGTGTCCTAGAGGCCATTAGAGTAAGTGTAGGGGGTTATCTACATTTATGTACATAGTCAATAGAGGCCCAATCTTGCATATTTTGACAACTGCATTTTCTTTTAAGTACAGAGTAGATGGATCCTAGGGTGCATGTTTGTAATTTCTTTTAGTATTACATGTATTGTCATCTGTGTCTGATTTTTTAGTTTGCATTTAGTGTACTATATTTACATGGTATTAGTTAGTGTTATATCTTGTTTGTTGTTGTGAAGTTCTTTGTAAGTTTTTTCTGTGCCAGGGTGGTAATAGCATTATAGAGCCCATGTATGACATTGGTTTAGTATTCCATAATTAATGTAGAAATAGAAGACTCTGTTATGAAGCAGAACAGCATTTGCAATTACCACTTTATATTACCTCTCTGGAAAGAGTTCTGTCCTAATAAAATTCCAGTTTGGATTTAAAGAGTGAACAGGCATCTGCACAAAGATTTTATTTTTCCCTTTAGGGTCATTTTTCCTCTTAGTAGTGTGGGATGGATGAGAACATCATGCACTCAAGCCACTAATCCAAGATAAGCAATATAATAAATTTTGTAGTTAGAGCTGTTCATGATTGACATGCAAGGCACAGAGAAATAATGCTGCATGTTTTCAATGAGAAATGTACAGGAGATGACTTAAAAATTGAATCACGTAGTGTTGATTACAGTTTGTATATGAACCCCAACAGAGTAGCTCTGTCTGTTGAATACGGGAAGTAAATGTAGTAATCTTGGCCCACGCTACACAGATGGTCTGTGAGTCACAAATTCACATTAGCAGACATCTGTGCAATAGAAATCACTAGTCAGAAAAAGAATCTTCATGTTTTGTCTTGTGTTCAGATGCCATTGCTTGAAGAAGAGGAAAGAAGCCTACCAGCAACAAAACGTTAAGACTCCAGTTATAGTGTCAGTGAGTTTCCAATCCCATAAATAAATAACTTACTTCTTAAAAAACAATATGGCCATACTGGAAAGTAAAATGGAAAAAAAGCAATTTATTTTCTAGCTGGCTGACTTCTGTACTGAGTCCATACCTGACCCTCCAGCAACTGTGAATGTTTTAATTTCAAGGAAGCAGCACTTTTTTTTTTACTTTGAGAACTTGAGGCAGAACATTTCTGATCAGCTCGTGAGCCATTGAATCTTACTAGGTTGTTCGCACAAGATACGTTTTGTTCTTTTTTGAAATGAAAACTAAGTCTATGCTTTCTCTGGAAATGGTGTTGAAATTTGAGAACAAAGTACCACGAAGCTGCCAAAAACTTACCTGGTACACCTCCAATGAACACTGGCTCCCTGTGATCAGTTGCCTTTGGATTTAGAGGCCCTACCACATGGTTGACTTCAGAGTCTACATCCAACTGCACCACGTTAGCATCTCTAATAACTGAAAGCAGAAGGAACAGGGATCAAGAAGATCATAAGAAGTAGCACCTGAGTTTTCTATGACCGACAGGAGTTATCTGTTTGATCTGAGGAGTTTGATTTAGTGTTTGCTAGATTGGATGTGAGCCATCAGTGACAGTATGTGGGCAGATTCTGGCACAGAGCAGGGCAAATGGAAGATGCAGTGTAGGAGCAAGGGTGCTTTTGAGTGAGCCTCTTGATTGCTGGCAGCTGTGTCTAGGCTGCAGGGTATAAGCGTACAATGATGTGTGGCTTAGAAAAACTGTTTGCCAAATTATTCCCAATAGGGGATGTACTAGAATGCAGTTAGGTTTTCTCCTTGCTCGTGTGCCTGGGTTTCCTTCAGAAGGAAACCAAAATGCATGGGGAAAGGGTGCACACTCAGATCTCTTCTGTGACACTGGGAGACATCCCAAGTCAGCATCTAGACAGGAAGGTAAGGGAGTTGAAAGTGCTGGAGGTTTAGAAGTACCTTTTGACTTTCAAACCCAGGGGGAAGGATGGCTGTCTGGCACAGAGGCGGAATCCTGACTGTAGACTCTCTCTGTGTGAGGCAGTGGCTCCCCAAATCTCTCCTGTTATTTGACCTTTAAGGGCAGTGTATACTTGGGCCTACTACATTCTACCAACTTATTTAACCTCTAATTAGGAAAAGAAGAATATCGTCTGGTATACAACTTAGGAAAGGTTGCCAGCATTTCAGCTAGGCTGTCTTGTGTTCTTTGAACAAGGAGCTTCCATTTTTGCTTGTTCTTCTTAGGAACTTGTGCTTGTCCTTCTAGGAAACTCTACAGTTCCTATATCTGAGGGACAAATATGACTGTGTCTTTCACACAAACTTGTGTCTTGACAGGAGGAAAGGAAGAACTGAAAATATGACTCTATTCCCAGTGCGCTAGCCCATGGAGACGGATATCTGGGGAGGAAGAACTGGGCTCTGTCACCTTACTTAAGAGATGATCATGTTTTACTGACCTGCAATTCGGTGCCACCTGCCATCGCAGAGACTCTGTTTCAGTGTCACTGAAGTTGAAAAATCCCTGATTCCATTATTCAGTTTCACAGTAACCTGGGGGAGAATAATGTAGTTGTCATTGTAGACCCCCTCCCGTTCTCTTTTTTCCTTCTGTTCTGATAATACTGTATTCCCCACTCAAAACATGTCTAGTATGTAAGTGAAAGAAAAACATGATTTAATGAAATTCTTTAAAATAAACCACCTTTCTTATTCACAGGTATAGGGTGGGGGTTTTTTTGGGGGGGTTTTTTTTTTAGATTCAATAGTTCTGCAACATTTCTGATTTGAACTCAAGGAAGGGTTCAAAAAAAGATTAAAAAATAACAGCTAATTTCACTCAAATTTTCTAGTACTGCTACTCTATAATTTCCTGTGTGGTAAATTAGTGTTTAGAGGCATCAGATGATGTTTTGGCATCTTGCTAGCCACTTAGTAAGGAAAACAGTCATGAAAAACCCAAGTATAAACAAACAGACAAGAAGTAAGAAAGGAATAGATATGGAACTTAAGAATGACTTTTAAATTACTTGTTCAGGCTTACCAGTAAATCTCTGGCAATGCTAGAAAGTGAACCTAATTCTGAATTTTGCACCTCTGCTTTTGTTACGTGGATTGATATCTTTCTGCATGGAAACATTACAGCAGCAGCAGAGCAGCGTCATGTCCCTATTGGCAGAGCACAAGATTCCCAGTGGTGATTGCCAGAGAACTCCAAACACTGAGTCCAGCCACTCAGGCTTTTCACATGTCTAAGTTGTCCCTGATAATGCTGACACCTTGTTGGCTGACAATGTTGCAAGGAAACAACTTATATTTAATTTATGGGATCTTTGTTTCAATATAGTTGTAACTAAGAAATTTTTAATTTTTTTTTTCCACAAGGGCACCAGCAAACAGAAATGAAATTATTCTCATTTTCCCCCAACATTGGACACTTTTAAGATTTGGTTGGATGGGGTGCTGGGCCATCTTATCTAGACAGTGCTTTTGTCTAGATGGAGTTTTCGCCAAGAAAGGTTGGACCAGATGATCCTTGAAGTCCCTTCCAACCTGGTATTCTGTGATTCTGTGATTCATGTTCTCTTTTATTCACTCTTGGACAAAATATGTAGGAGTGATTGAAGCAAATACAGAACCATGAGAGAAATCTTTAATAAATCACCCAGACAAGCTGTACTGATAGAGAGAGATGCATACATTTAAAAATGAAATAAAGGTGCTGATTGTTCTTATTCATCCAGCAAAAATGTTTTCATGAAACAGGTCTTTGGTAATGCATTCAAAGAGAGCACATAGTTAATGGTAAAAACCACAGGTGCTTACCAACAAGGTAACTGGTGTACCTGTTGCAGTGACAAGCAGGGAAGAGCTGCTTTTCCAGGGTGAATTTTGTTTATGAATTGCATATATGTTATACAAGAAGTGAGGTTTGAAGCAGTACGTGAGGAAATATCTTTTGTTAGACCAACTGAAGCAGTTGGAAAACCAGACAAGTTTCTGGACATGCAAACCTTCCATCAGATTTTTACATAAGAGGTACTTGGCTGGACCAGCTGTATCCAGATACAACCTTTAAGTGTGGCATGATACACAGCAATGCAACGTGCTTTAAGTTCTTTGTTGGTTCACCAAGTACTAACTACAGCTGTAAGAATGGGCTTTACCTTATCTGATCAGCTTTCAAAAGTTAGGTGCATAACTGAAGCACATGTTCTCTTTATAGTCAATACAGAAAAATAGATTCTCTGAATGACAGCTCATTTAGTCACCTATATTAGACACCTGCTTTAGGATAGGATGAATCACCATTTTAATCCCTGTCCACTCAGTTGCTACTGTAGGTTCCTGTTCTTGTAAGAAAGGTGACAGTATGTTTCCTCAGGTGTTGCATTTCTAACTGAGGTACAGCCAGCCTCACTTAAATACCCTTCCACTCTGGTTGACAGATACTGGCTAGTGCATTGCAGTGGTTAAAGAATATCCACACTGTTTAGGCTCTTGACAATGGGAGTTTATTTTCTGCAAAAATAAAAAAATAAAAGATTTCCCCTGCTCTGAACCTTTGCTTGTTTTGTCCACTTAGACTGCAGCTTACTACTATATGTGTGCAATGCGTAGGGATCCAGATTTTAGCAATGAACGTAATAAAAAATTAGCAACAGCAACAACTGTTTGGTAAGTTCATTTCAAACCTCTCTCTTTTGATTGACAGCCTTACAAAAATCCAGAGGGTCTAGAAACCAGATCAACAGACAAGCAGAACTTTTCCTTTCCCTCATTCTCCCCATCACACACGTATATGTTAAAGGAAGAAGAGCCTGAGTGCAACTCAGACTTCTCTTTTAACAAACTAGAAATAAAAATTCATCAACAGTTACCTTACTTGTAACTGTTACGCATTTTTAACGTGGATGAAAGAAGCGCACCAAAGAGTCAGTGCTCCTGCTTCTTTTCAACTGCTCATTAAATATTTATAGTTGGTATCAGTAAAGTGATCTGATTTTGTCTTAGGTGTTATTTTTTGTATTTTAAAACAAATATCTAGGTTTCCTAATCTAATATTTAGGAGAGAAATAAGAATCAATTAATGGCAAATTTGTAATACAAAAGCTGCATATAGCAGAGCCCAAATAGGTAGGAGAGGCAGTCAATGCAGTGGAGGAAATGTGAACTTCGTGTACCTGTCCATTTCTCATGTGCATATTCAAGTACTCTCCATTCACGCTGTGACCGTGCAGTAGAATTCCTGAGCTGCTTCGGGGACGTATTTCAAAAACAACTTCAAATTTCAGGCCTAAACTGAAGGATTCATCTGTGAGGTAAAAAGAATAACATTCTTTTTGTATTGAGTTAGTGATGAAATTGCACATTTATTCAAAATCAAAATAGAAATTCGAAGCCCAGGGTGGACCTTATTTGTCCTGTCTTTAAAACTATTGAAACATGTGCCAGTACATATACTTGAAGAGAGGGCATGGTGTGCTGTCAATGATCCATTTCAACTTTTGTTTTGATTATGTTTGCTTGTAGTACTAATAAAGGTTTCTTTATTTTTCTTATTATTTAAAAAATATATTTTGTTAAAAAATATTTCTTAGCAATGAAATGGACAGCAGAAAGTAAATTATCTGTATTTTTTGGCAGTTTCTTACTGTGCAATTTGCTAGACATTCAGCAATCTTTATATAGTGAGGAGGAGTTCACTTGAGCTTTGATGATTCAGTAGAGGAAACTCCCTTTTTCAATATGGTGGCAGGCCAGGGAGCAAATTAGAAACACTAATTCTTCTTGATGTTGCCAATGAATAGGGTTGTGCAGTTTCCTTTCCTGTTCAGATCAGAGCCTATGTGACCAAAAAACCCTCATAAAACACTTCCTGGAACACAGCAGGCGTAAATTACAGAAAAGATGTGTTCTGTCATGCTGTTTGTTATCAATACATGCAGAAAGCCTTTCCTTAGGATTTTTGAATTACATGTTGTTATATTAATTAAAAAAACTAAGGGATGGCCATTTGCTGGTGTACTTTGTCTTAGCCACATTGACTTCTATATGTCTATGATAATTTTTACCATATTATAATCTGTTCCCTTGTGAAATTATTCTATTTTGCTGAAATACATACATACAGATTTATTTATGTAATAACTTGTTAAGTTTCATGGTGACATGGTGACGTGTCAACATCAGCTGCTTGCCACAATAATGATCTGTGTCTAATAATCCTTAAAGCTCACAGCCTCAGAAATTAGCACACCCTTTAGTGAAATATGCCATTCTGAAGCACAGTGAATACTACAGTCTTACTATGGGATACATTTGTTCAGTAGTGTCTTACCAAGGATGACATATCCTCCTTCTGATGAAAAGTATGTTCCTGCTTCTGATGGGCCTTCAAAGCAAGGTGTTACACTAAATGTCTGCGAAGCTGAAGTAATCGATCTTCCATTGAGCTGTAAATTGCTGAGACAACCACTAAAACTGTAGACAGAGTTAATCTGAGGGGGGGGAAAAAGCATGATTAGTAGATAAACTGCTGTGGAAGGAAATAAACTCTTCTGACCTTATTTGTACTTGTTTATGAGCTGAAAGGCTGCGATTGTCTGGTGCATCAGTTTTGAATTAAAAAACAGTTTCCAGAGAAGACAACCAGGACAGATGCTTTTCATAGCCTCTCATGTCTCTTTTATGACTTCAAGGTAACTCCAGCTTGTGTTGTTTCTCAAACAATCCTTACTGAACCGTGAGAAAAAAGGTGCGACTAGAGCAAGGCAGCATTATACATACTTCATACCCTCAAGGCAAGACAGAGGTCTACTTTTCCCAAGTAGTGTATCTGTCTTGTTCGGCACATAACACTAAAAATTACCTTGAAGAAGACTTGGTTATATTAATTTTTGCTTTGATGCTCCTTTCCATATACTTCAGTACCATGATGTAGAGCAGAATCCTGACTTCTAGGTGCTGTCTTAAAACAGAGGTACTAAGATGACACTAAAATCTCTCTGAAACTCATCCATATCTCAGCCCTTAGGGTGAAACTGATCTCACGTAACTTCACCTATCTTATCTAAGCTTGGATGTCACTAGGATTTCTCTGTTCCTCAGGGACCACTGGCTTTCCAGTTGCTGCTGCAAATCTCTGGAAGTCTAGCTCAACTACCACCAGCCCAGCCCTGTGGGAGCTTTGCTATCCACTTGAGCTGAGCTGTGTGCTTCTCAGTGTGCTCAGAATTCAGGTCATAATATGCTTTTGCCTGAACTCATCCCTACAGTCAGCTTTTGCATTGGCTGTACATAGAGGTATGGGATGATGTAATCGGTGTCTGCTTTACCTGGATATTTTTTACAGCTTTTCCGGGAGCTACACCCCCAATATAGAGTGGTTCAGTGACTTGCCAGGTATTGGCATTACCGCTGAAAGGTTCTTCCAGTACTCGGAGACCATCAATTATCAAGCGACCAATATTTTTGCCTCTAATAAATATCACCTAGAAAGGGAGGAAAAAAATTTGGATGGTTACATTCATCTGTTGAGGGAACACTCCTGTGCAGTGGAAGAAGATAGGAAGTTTGAGAAGAAGAGCTTGTGAGTGATACTCTACAAGCCTGTTTTATTAACTGCCAATATTCTTTGCTGGACAACCCTCCTTTCACATGCGTGTAAAGGCTAGATAGTAAAACTGCTGTCTGTCTTACATTTTGGTGTATAAGGCAGAGGTAATCAAGGTGTCACAAGGTCTACTGAGATCTGCCCATCATATTTGCATATGTGAGTCATTGCTACAGTGCTATCCCTGTTAGCATTTTCACAATCTTGGTCAGTTTTATGGTCTGGATTCATCCAGCCTGCTTTAAACACTTAAGTGCCAAAGTTAGGAGCTTAGTAACTTATTAACTTCCTCTGTAGTCAGTGAGGAGAGAGAGGTACCTACAGAGGGAAATTCACCTCGACCCCTAAAATTGTCTTTTTATTTTCATAGACTACACAAGGAGTCCAAGACAGCTGTTCTCCTTGCTTAGGCACTACAAAGAAATTTGCTGAACAAAATTATCCTAGTCCTTTGTTTCTTAGCTAACTTAACTCTTAATTGCCTCACTGTTCTGCTTGTTTCTGTCACTTCTGTTCAGCTGTTAGTGTTGGGAATTGCTGGATTTTTATAACTGACTCACTTTCCTGTCCCTAGTTAATGACTTGATAAAATGCCACGTGGAAGATCTAAAAATATTGGCAGAAGTTTCTCAACATATAGGTGTGGTTATGAACACATGAATGACAACTCCCTGAGCTGTCACATCAGCAGTGTCTTTACTGTGGCCTTGATAGCATGTGCCATCATGATTGCTTTCTTTTACTTACATTATGCCAAAGGCCATCATTGTATTTCTCTTGGCTCTTAATCCTTATCTTCTGATGACCAGCATTAAACATAAAAATGAGTCGGCCATGAGCAACGAAAAGGGCCATGAAGTTGGTCTCTTTTTGATCCGAGATGTAGAAAATCATTCCATGAGAGGAGTGAGTTTTCAGACTGATAGAGAACTGAGCTCTGGCACATAAAAACACAATATTAAAATTAGAGCAGATATAATAGACTTAAATCAAACTGCAGGCAGGGGAAGACTGAGATTTTCCTCTCATCCAAAGGAATATACATCTCCTTTATGGAAGTGGTGTTTCTGAGAAACATTCCATACTGGTTTTTAGAGTAGAAGTCAAAGTTGGAGAAGAAGCTGCCTTGCAAGGAACTCGTTTTCAAAAAAATTAAAATCTCTGGAGTGAATAAAATCAATACAGACAACCAATAACTGTCACTATATGCACTACATTTCCATTCATGTTGAACAGCAACGTTAGGGGACTTTTTAACTGTGAAGACATGGAGGCCTGACAGTTCACAAATCTTTAATGTTAGTCCAAATTCACTGCTAAGCTACTGCTTCCTTGTAGTTCCTTCTGAAGTCCAAGATAACCTGTCAAATTATGCTAACTTGGTTTGACACTGTCAACAGTGAAGATTTCTTGAGTAATTGGTATTATTACTTTGGGTTGAAAAAATGGCATAGCTGTACTTGTGTAGAACAGTGACAGAACTGATTACTCCTGCTTCTTATGTCAGCTGACTAGCTTAGCTTCCATTCTTTGTATTGCCTGAAGGATCTATAAGTTCCCCAATGCATGTGTGTAGATTCAAGGGACTGGAGTGCAAGTCTTACGAGGAATGGCTGAGGGAACGGGGATTGTTTAGCCTGGAGAAGAGGAGGCTGAGGGGAGACTTTTTTGCTCTCTACAGCTACCTGATAGGAGGTTGCAGTGAGGTGGGTGTTGGTCTCTTCTCCCAAGTAACTAGTGACAGGACGAGAGGAAATGGCCTCAAGCTGTGTCAGGGGAGGTTTAGATTAGATGTTAGGAAAAATTTCTTCACTGAAAGAGTGGTCAGGCATTGGAACAGGCTGCCCAGAGAGGTGGTGGAGTCACCATCCCTGGAGGTGTTTAAAAAACATGTGGACATGGCACTTCAGGACATAGTTTAGTAGACATGGTGGTGTTGGGTCGAGGGTTGGACTTGATGAACTTAGAGGTCTTTTCCAACCTTAAGATGCTGTGATTCTATGATTCTGTGATTCTATGATTCTGCACACACTTAGGCCCTTGCCAATATTGGTTGTTTTGAAACATCACAGGTCATTGTTTTTTAAAATACACATTACAATGATGAAGCTGTAATAACAGTTGTAAAACAAGTATGTCTTGTAGGGATGAAAAGACATATTAGAGTTTGGGGTTTCCTTCTTCATATGGGCACCATCAGGACTTCCCTAAGTAAAACATTCTTGAATTAAAACAAATGTAATACTTTTTTTTTATTTAAGTCAGGAAATAGCACTCTTCTGAGTTAGTGGTCTGGTATGCTTCCAGGAAGTGCTGTGTTGTTGAATTTATAGTCTTCCATGGAAAGTATTAAACCAAAATCCTTTGTTGGTCATAACATAGCATATGGCATATTCTGTGGGAGCCTGAGAATTAAACGCCCACAATTACTTCAATTTCTGTTATGGCTTGAATTGGACATGGTTTTCATACCTTTATGTCCTACTGCACTGTGTAGATCCCTAATCATTAAACAACTGACAGTGTCCACTCAACGCGTAATTGCTTCATTTCTTGGTGAACTGTTGTGTTCTTTTCCAGCTCTGCTCTAATGACATCACTTCTTGCATAGAGACCAAAGGAACATTCCTTGTATAGACCTAACATCCTCAAAGTCTTCATACAAATAGGCAAGGAGACACATTTTGTTAGTATACAATCCAGATGAAGACTCTGCAAGAGGGATGTAACTGGAAACACATTCTATTTATTGCTCTGACTCAACTGAAACACCTTTTAATATATCCTAACAACATGCTCTATACAAAAATTGACCTAAGATATAAAGAAAAACGTCAGAGTAACAGCAGAAATGTGTCCTTTTTCTTATTTGAAATACATCTTTCTCCTCCCCAGTAGATTAAATTTTAAGTTCTAAGGTCCCTTTACCTTTCACTGAAATCCTTTGGTATGTGGTCAAATTCTTGCCGGCTGTTTGCTGTTCCTCCAAACTGATATGCATGTTCGGTTGCCTTGGGATTCATGGACAAGTGGCACTGAGGGTCTCTTTGAATATTGGCTTCTTGATACAGTTTTTTTAGGCCATTTGAAGGCTGTGAAATCTTGTCTTTATCTCTTCCCACCTTCATAGAAAGATAACCATTAACCAGAAACTTTAACTAAGATTGGACATAATAAAATAACAGTATCATTTATGTCTAAGGTAATTTTTCCTTACAGAAGTCCCAGGAATGGTTCCAAGTCAAATTTTCCTTGAACAGATCTACTATAGATGCTGATTTAGGGCAGAAGAAGGGATAAACAGAATACTTATGTAGCTAACATAATTGCAATTCTATTCTTTTGCAGTTTTCCTAATTGAATCTTTTCCTCTCTGCTTTTGATAATATCAGCTATACTATAAGGCATAAGAGGACATGCTTGGACTAAAAGTTCTGCATGCTGGAAGAAGGTTTTTTTCACATTTATATTAATGTGTGCTAATTGTACCCAGTAGAGAAAGCCACACAGAAGTAGCTGAGAACAGAAGCAAGCTTGTTGCCTTTAGGGTATAGAAGAAATCAAGAAGGCTTGTTTCTGCAGTACTTTTTTGAAGATTCATAAATTTTCTTTCACAGTTCTAGCAAGAGAGAATGATGCAAGTCAGGGCAGTCATTTGCAGCAATGGAACATGTAAAGGAACAGGATCCTTTACTTCATATATCTGAAATAGTCTTCACGTGGTATGTGTTGGATCCATAATTTGGAGAATTCCTAATGATGGCACAGTATGTATCAACTTTGGAAAATTCTAGGGTGGTGCTGCAGAAATTTGTATCAAACCTTTTTATTACGGTTTCCTTTGGCTTTTGATGAGTTTTTTCCTTTCTTATGGAGAAGAGCAACTGGAGGAGATTCAACAGGGCATCCATACAAAGAAGTCTGAACTTTCTCAGAGTACTGCTGGAAATCTTCCACTTCAACCTCTCGATCCAACCTGTGTTTCAAAGAGGGGATGACAAGAACAGCTTTTTTCCAAGTGTTGGAATTGTCTTCATAAAAATCACAGAATTTCACATTTATAGTTTAGTGATGTTTGGATTGGCTTTTTTTCATTGTTGGATCATGGATGAAAGTACAGATTTATCAGTCAATGATTGGGTAATGGGGGCAGCCTATACTACTTCTGCCTGTTGTATCCATGCTTGCATAAACAGTATCAATCTGCAGCACAAAATTAACTATGAAATGTTCTTATATGGAAGATTTTAAAGTTTATTTATTTATTTTATTAATTTTATTTTAATTT